CTTCTCTACTCTTCTCTTTTTTCCTCTCCTCTGCACTTCTCTTCTCTACTCTTCTCTTCTCTATTCTTCTCTACACTTCTGTTCTCTTCTTTCCTCTCCTCTTCCCTTCTCTTCTCTACACTTCTCTTCTCTTCTCTACACTTCTCTTCCCTTCTGTTCTGTTCTGTTCTGTTCTCTTCTCTTCTCTACTCTTCTCTAAGTTTCAACCTCTTTTTTGTAAAGCGGTGACCCAAACTGGACGCGGGATTCCAGGTGTGGCCTTACTAAGGCTTTATAAAGTGGTACTAACTTGATAGTAGGTCCCCAGCCTCCTAATCCTCTTTATTGCTCTTCTCTGCACTCTTTCCAAAGTCTCAACATCTTTTTGGTTTTTTTTTAATATCCCAGTGACCAAAATTGGGTCCAGTCCTCCAAAGGGGTCGAACCAAGGCCTTATTAAAAGGGGGTATTAATTCTTGACACGATAGGTTTCCCCCCCGTTGGGGTCCCCTTACTCTCTTCTAATCCCTTTCTCTGCAACCTCCCCGTTCCAGAGGATAAGAGAGAAAACCCCAAAGAAAACTAGACCTCCCCGTACCGCCGACCCAGTTCTGCCACTCACCGTCTCCGTTCTTAAAAATGATCTCGTGGTTCGTGAAGAGCAGTTCGGACATGATGTCCGGATTCTCCCAGTTGAGCCACAAGGGACGCTTGGCCGAGGACATGATCCGGCACTCGTCCAGCCTGCAGGAGAGGAAAGGCCGAGGGCGGTGGGGGTTGGGGGGTGGGGCCCAGCTAGAAGACCCCCCCCCATTCCCCATTCCGGCCTGCCTTCCTGCCGCCCCACCCTCCCCCTCCCAAGGAGCCCTGCCCGGTGGGGGGGGGTCTCACCGGAGGTTGCCCAACTGGTGGACGGGGTTGAGGGGGCAGATGAATCCTTGGAGGGCCTCCATGTAGTCGGGCCGCCTCATCTGCTCCACCAGGAACTTCATCTGCATCTGAATAGAATCAACAGAGGGGGGAAGGGAAGGGACCTTGGAGGTCTTCTAGTCCAAACCCCCCCCGCCCCGCCCCGGCTCAGGCAGGATCCCCGCGATGGCGAACCTACAACCCAGTGAGCCGCCGGCCAACTTACCTGCCCTGCGCATGCCGCCCAGGTGATGTTCAGCCTCTCGGAGGCTCGCGGGCGGCCGGCGCAGGCTTCGCAGGCTGAAAAAAAATAGGCCCGTTTTCATCGCTTCCGGTATTTCCGGAAATACCAGAAGTGACCAAACGGGCCCATTTTTCGGCCTGCAAAGCCTGTAGAAGCCTGCAGAAGCCTTCCTCAAGCCCAGATCTGGGAGGCCGGAAAAAATAAAGGCCTCAAAATGGCCAGAATTAGCTGGGAGACGCAGTGCAGGTAAGTGGGCAGGGGGCATGTGGGGTGAAGCGTTTGCGCATTGCCTTCTGGGTATATATATATATATATATATATATATATATATATATATATATTCCTTTTCCTTTCGGTTCTCTTTGCTGGCTATAGAGGGGGAGAGAATGTTGGGCTTGACACGTTCCTAAAGTGGGAGGAGTGGTTAGATAGTGAGGATTGTTTAGGCTAAGCGGTTCTTCTTTTCCGTGGGAACGAAAGGTCGAGATGGATGACGCCAAGGCCGACGTGGATTTACCGCTATTGGGGGGGGGGGGAAACGGGACTTTCGGCCGGTCTGTTTCTCATTCCCAAATATTACGCGGTAGTGCGCGATCCGGAAGGACGACCGATTTTTTTTGCCCACGGGATGCTTATCCGAATAAAAGAAATGGGCGTGGGGACCCAGGGTGGGGATACGAAACCAACCAAGTCCCCCCCAAAAAACAGGCGAAACCCCATTTTTTTATTCCTTCAACTTGGCTTCAAAGCTCCAGATATCCTTGACCGGAAACCAAACAAAACAAAAAACTCCCCCACAAACAGTTACGAAAAGGAGGAAAGGCCGTTTAAACTAAAAAAAAAAAAAATACCGATCAATTATAAATAGAAAAAATAACACAACAACACAAACCACACTGAAGCCATTAAGGGAACCAGGCAAGATAAGGGCTTGATGTCCACAGATATTGGAACACACACTGGGAAGGACGCCAAACTCAAGAGAGGAATGGACAGGCTAGAGATATTTCCATGCTTTGTTTCCAGCACTGGCCCATACGCACGTCCATCCTTTTCACAAGTTCTCACAGCTGCAGTCCATGAAGGGGATCAGGGCCCTTTCCTCCCCCCCCCGTAGACCACGCTATTCACATTGCTCCCTTATGCGTTCCTCCCTGGATTTCATCGCTTGGAAAGTCTGTGCATGCCCCTCTCGGGCAGCAACCAGGCACCGAGAGTCACGGGGTGTGTGTGTGTGTGTGTGTGTCTCTCTCTCTTCTGACAACTCCCAACTCCTTCTCCTCCTTCGAGGCGATCCCTCCGCCCGCTCGGCCGTCCTCCGTCCCCTTTCCCAGGAAGTTACCTTCTGAGTCTCGTCCTTCTTCTCCTGTTTGAGGATGTCAGTGAGGTTGATGAGCTTCTCCATGGCTTCCACCTGTCGGTTCAGGTGCTTCAGGTACATCCCGCAGCCACGGCAGAAGGCCTCTAGCATCAACCCGAAGCGCTGGGAAATAGGCTTGCTGTGCATCTCCGACCTGGGGAGGACACAACCGTTGTGAGTTGCCAACACCCCCCCCCACACTGAAAAAAGGGTGGATTTAAATGAACCAGGTGTGGGGCGACCGTTGTGAGTCCCCGGCTTCAACAAGAGGGCCGCAATTACGGTTAGTCCATGACCTGCAACAACTCAACACTACCACGGGCATGTCAACTCATAAAACATTTCCTGGGCCTGTTTTAGTAGTTGCCATTAAAACGGGGTGGGTGGGTGGGTGGGGAGGAAGGAAGGAAATCTGGAAGGGCAGGGCAGCAGTTGGAAAGCTGAAAGTCCTTCCAACTCTTTATCTTTAAAAGATTGGAACTCAACTACCGGAGCTTTTGCAGAGCGAGAGAGAGGAGGAACAGATGGGTCCACTGCCTGTGTGGATGTGCAGAAGGCAGAGGAGAGGAGAGCAGTGGAA